AAAACCTCAGCCTCAAAAATGTGATCTCTTGGAGACCAAGTATCCAGAAGTCTGGGTAGCAACAGGGACTCCCTTTCAGAAAGCCCTAGGCAGAGAGGGGACCATTTATCTTGACCCATCTTGGTGAAAATTGTCATTCTTTATATTGCCATGAAATAACAAGCTGAAGCTGGGATAAGGCACACAACTTCCTCTGCCCAGTTGTCCCCAACGGCAGCGCTGCAGAAACCAATTATGCTAATAATATTTTCATATTAAAAAGAAGATGTGTGATTGCTGGTTATTTTGTTTTGAGCAGATGCCATTTTTTTCCACTGGGAAAAATTTAAATGAAATTTTGTTGTTTCCCTTTCCTCAAAAATGGATCTCAAATGGCTTTAAGCCCCAGGTGCAGAACTGTTCTGGTGAATTTTGAAGACTATAGTGTAGGTAACAGCTTTTGCATTAAGCTGCTTTCAGCCTGTAGCAAGTTAGCCTAAGTGCCAGGAATTCAGCTGCCCATCTCATCCTGCCCCGACCTCATCCAGCTCCTTAGTCATTTGTAGTCTGTATCCAGACCTACAACCCAGATGCTGGTCTTCTGTGGCTCAGCATCGCATCCCACAGACGAACTTGCTGTGGGATTATCCAAGCTGCGTGGTTCTGTCTCCTGCATCACTAGGGAGGAAGCTTTCTCCCCTGTCCAGGTCACACCACTGTCAAATCAAAACAAGCCCACCCAAGCCCAACACACAACAATCTCCATGCTCTCTCCACTTTGAGTCCACTCCCACCCCTGCAGTAGTGACGCCCTTCCTTCTTCAGAGTGATTTCCAGTAACCTCCAGAGCCGTTTTTCTAATTTAAAAAAACCTCATCTCGTGTGGAGAGAAGGGAACCCTCTTGCACTGTGGGTGGGAATGTAAACTGGTACAGCCATTATGGAGAACAGTATGGAGGTTCCTTATAAAACTAAAAATAGAGCTACCATATGACCCCGCAATCCCACTCCTCGGCATATATCTGGAGAAAAACATGGTCCGAAAGGATACATGCACCCCAGTGTTCATTGCAGCACTGTTTACAATAGCCAAGACATGGAAGCAACCTAAATGTCCATCAACAGAGGAATGGATAAAGAAAATGTGGTACATATATACAATGGAATGTTACTCAGCCATAAAAAAGAATGAAATAATGCCATTTGCAGCAACATGGATGGACCTAGAGATTGTCATACTGAGTGAGGTAAGTCAGACAGAGAAAGAGAAATATTGTATGATCTCGCTTATATGCAGAATCTAAAAAGAAATGATACGAATGAACATATTTACAAAACAGAAACAGACAGACTGAGAGTATGATCTTACGGTTACCAGGGAGGGGAGGGATAGTTAGGGAATTGGGGATTGACATGTACACACTGTTGTATTTAAAAGGATAACCAACAATGACCTACTATATAGCACAGGGAACTCTGCTCAATGTTATGTGGCAGCCTGGATGGGAGGGGAGTCTGGGGGAGAATGCATACATGTATATGTATGGCTGAGTCGCTTTGCTGTGCACCTGAAACTATCACAACATTGTTAATCGGCTATACTCCAATATAAAATTAAAAAGTTAAAAAAAAAAAGAATGATATTGGAAGGAAAATGGTCAAAAAACAAAGAACAAAACTCATCTCGTCTAGCTTCTTGGTCAGCATTTCGAACCCCCTACAGATGAGTTTGAAGGACTAACAGCAAGTCCTCCTTGACCTCTCTCTGGCAGGTAGGTGGCATGTGTCTGAAAAGTACTCAGACCAGGTTTGCCTCCTCCCGCTTCTCACGGATAGAACACCCAGCAAATTCATTTTCAAGTGCTGCCCTTCACAACCCATAGAATCGCAAAGGAGGCCAAACACAAATGATAAGAATTTCATACGTGGAATACATTACCACCTCCCAATAAATGAAAAAGCATCATCCTGAGGGGCCAAACAGTGGCCAAAGCTGGCAGCTTTCATACTTGTTAGACAGAGAAACGATGCATTTGTGAGGGGTTGACAGGACAAAGAAGTGTAGGCTTGGGTGTTTAACTAGTGAAGAATCTAAAACGAGTTTGGGCTTGGGATCGTAAATTAAAGAAGTAACAAGGTTTGTTTGTATAGGCTTCTTGGCCTGAATTCCCTCTTTCTGGCGATAAGGGTGTCCTTCTTCCTCCAGATGCAGGGAGGGTAGCTTTCACATAGGAGATTTATTTCCTGCTTTCAGGGAGACAGAGGGGAGGGACAAACGATCCCTCCTGCATTGGCCGTTTCTTAAGTAACTAATTCAAAATGATCAGTGTGCTACTTTTGCATATTTGGGGGCAGACTTCTCTGAGCCCCAGCAAGTGGAACTTGAGTTTCTAGACCATGTATCATTCCTCTAGAGAGTCAGTATACTTTGACGACAGAACTCCTTGAATTCCCCAGGTGATACAGGTGGCAGATTGCTGATAACTAGTTAATGATTAGAGGAAAATGGCTTATAGAAATTGAGGGGACTAGCCAAAGGTAACATGGGGAAACAATTCAGATCAAGAATCCAGGTCTCCTGATTCTTGCTTATGTGTCACCATATTCTATGAGCATACTGGTTTTATTTTTCTTCATTCCTAGGGTGACCAGATGCCTACTTTTGCTTAGGACAGTCTTACTTTACACCTGTTGTTCCAGAATAATTATAAAAAGCGCCCCTTTTTACATTCAAAAGAGAAGAGATCTGGAAAATTGAATGATGACTCACCATCTGACATATATTTTTTGTTTGTTTATTATTCATCTCACCCATTAGAATGTCATATCCATGACAGCAGGGACTTTGGATGTTTTGTTCAGTGGTCTATTGTCAGTACCTTAACTGGTGCTGACTCATAGTATATGTTCAATAAATGTTTGCTGGTTTAATTAAAAAAATCATCATCATTGTTGGTGTGAAAGCGAGACATCTACATCCCTCAGGGGTTAAGAAGGAAAAATAAGATACTGCTACATTTGCATGTTGGATATAGATCTAAGGAGAGAGGAACTTTTCAGAGGTAATTTTCTGTGCAATGTTAGCATTTATTCATTTCTGACCTTTGAGCTGTGGGCAATGAGAGGCAGCTTTTTTAAAGTCTCCGTTCCCTAATGCTGATTTTCTAGGCATGAAGGTGCCAGCAGGAGCTGGTAAATAACAACCAAGCTTTTCTCCTATTCCCTTCACTCTCCCTGACATCTCGTGAAGCACTCTCTTGTTTGATCAATTTTTTCCCACCTAGTAAGGAAGAAACCTACAGAGCCTGCCTCAGCAAGACTTCCCAGAGGCTCCAAATGAATATTAAATGGCTCCCTACAAACTCACTGGTCTGGTAAAATGTAACATGAGTCAAAAAGTTCTGAGATGCTTGATAAGAAGAGAAAGAGAAGGATCTTATCAAGGATTTGGGGCAGATTTTCATTGGGGCCACTTTTTTTTTTTTTTTTTTTTGCGGTACGCGGGCCTCTCACTGTTGTGGCCTCTCCCGTTGCGGAGCACAGGCTCCGGACACGCAGGCTCAGCAGCCATGGCTCACGGGCCCAGCCGCTCCGCGGCATGTGGGATCTTCCCAGACTGGGGCACGAACCCGTGTCCCCTGCATCGGCAGGCGGACTCTCAACCACTGCGCCACCAGGGAAGCCCGGGGCCACATTTTTAAATTGCATTCTGGTGGGACAAACTAACCAAATTTCCAGAACATGTCACAGAAGGCAATATTTGCACTTATTCATTTGCTGCTGTTGTTTTTAAAATCATTCAGTTTTTGTTTTTAGGTCCTTCTCGAGTCATTAGATATGTTTATTTCTTGAGCAGCTATTATGTGCCAGAAGCCATGCCAGATGCTTAGAATATAAACATGAAGAGGAAAGCCATAGTTCCTTCTCTGATGAAAGTTACATTATGTGCGCACACACACACACAATATGAGAGAGGCCGAGAGCAAGTGAGACAAGTGAGAGAGCTTGAATAGGTATTGATTGTGCTTACTACTTTGAAGGAAGAGAAAGGTGCAGACATAAGAATATTCAGAGGTCCTCCCTCCCTTCCTCCCTTCCTTCCTTCCTCTTGCGAAGCAATAAAACTGTATTAGCAATTGATGTGATTGCTTATGTAGAAAAGCCCATGGTATTGGGTTGACCAAAATGTTCATTCGGTTTTTTCCATAAGATGGTTCTAGTAGCACTTAGTTGTCTTTAACTTCATTCAAAGCAATTTTGTTAGATTGTATGTGACAGCTGTCATATCAGTGTGCATTTTAAAAAAAGACATCAAAATTGGTGAATTTTTGTGTAGCCATTTTAATATTGAAGATGGAAGAAAAAAAAGCAACATTTTGGCATATTATGCTTTATTATTTCAAGAAAGGTAAAAATGCAACTGAAATGCAAAGAAAGATTTGTGCAGCGTATGGAGAAGGTGCTTTGTCTGGTCGAACATGTCAAAAGCCATTTGTGAAGTTTCGTGCTGGAGATTTCTTTCTGGACGACACTCCATGGTTGGGTAGACCAGTTGAAGTTGATAGCGATCAAATCGAGACATTAATTGAGAACAATCAGCGTTATACCACGAAGGAGAGAGCCGACATACTCAAAATATCCAAATCAAACATTGAAAATCATTTGCACCAGCTTAGTTACGTGAATCGCTTTGATGTTTGGGTTCCACATAAGTTAAGCGAAAAAAACCTTCTTGACCATATTTCCGCATACGATTCTCTACTTAAAAGTAATGAAAACATTCCGGTTTTAAAATAAATTGTGGCGTGCTATGAAAAGTGTGTACTGTACAATAATGTGGAACAGAAGAGATTGTGGGGCAAGCGAAATGAGCCATCACCAACCACACCAAAGGCCGGTCGTCATCCAGAGAAGGTGATGTGTATATGGTGGGATTGGAAGGGAGTCCTGTATTATGAGCTCCTCTGGAAAACCAAACAATTAATTCCAGCAAGTACTGCTCCCAATTAGACCAGCTGAAAGCATCACTCGATGAAAAGCGTCTGGAATTAGTCAACAGAAAATGCATAATTTTCCACCAGGATAACGCAAGACCTCATGTTTCTTTGACGACCAGGCAAAAACTGTTACAGCTTGGCTGGGAAGTTCTGATTCATCCTCCCTATTCACCAGACATTGGATTTCCACTTATTTTGGTCTTTACAAAATTCTCTTAAGGAAGAAATTTCAATTTCCTGGAAGACTGTAAAAGGCACCTGGAACAGTTCTTTGCTCAAAAAGATAAAAAGTTTTGGGAAGATAGAATTATGAAGTTGCCTGAAAAATGGCAGAAAATAGTGGAACACAAGGGTGAATACGTTGTTCAGTAAAGTTCTTGGTAACAGTGAAAAATGTGTCTTTTATTTTTACTTAAAAACCAAAGGCACTTTTTGGCCAACCCAATATTTACAAAAGAAACTTTAGATAAGTGAATTGAGCATAGTTCTAGTATATGTGATAAAGACACAAAAATCATGATCCTATTTTTGTAGAGAAAAAATGTATATCATTGAAAAGAAGACCAGAAGATTGTGGTTCTCTATGGGTGATAGATTCCTAAATTTTCTTTTCTTTCTTCCTTTTTTATTTTTGTTTTTTGCCTACCTATATTTTTTTAATGGGTCATTCCTTATTCACCATTTTTGACACTCAGTGGGGCTTTTCAATTAGAATATTCTGAAATTTTTAAAAACTGAGGTACAAGTGACACATAATATGTTGGTTTCAGGTATACAATATAATGATTCAATATTTGTGTACAGTTGACCTTTGAACAACATGGGTTTGAACTGCATGGGTTAATTTATATGCAGATTTTTAAAAATAAATACAGTATTGCATGATCTGAGGTTGGTTGAATCCATGGATATGGAACTGAGGATACAGAAGACCAACTGTAAAGTTATATGTGGAGTTTTCTACTGTGAGGGGGGTTTGGTGCCTCTAACCTCCAAGTTGTTGAAGGGTCAACTGTATAGTGCAAAATGATCTAGTTAATATCAATCATCATACATAGTTAAAAAAAATTTTTTTTCTTGTGATGAGGACTTTGAAGATCTACTCTCTTAGCAACTTACAAATATGCAATACAGTATTATTAACTAGAGCCACCATGCTGTACATTACATCCTTTTGAGAGGTTCTTTTTGGTGGGGAGGAGATTAGTGTTTATTTATTTAAAAAAATTTTATTGGAGTATAGTTGATTTACAATGTTGTGGTAGCTCCTGCTGTATAGCAAAGTAAATCAGTTGTACATATACTTATATTCACTCTCTTTTTAGATTCTTTTCCCATATAGGCCATTGCAGAGTACTGAGTAGAGTTCCCTGTGCTATACAGTAGGTCATTATTAGTTATCTATTTTGTATATAGTAGTGTGTCTATGTCAAAGAGGTACTTTAGTTAGGATGTTGGAGGATGCCAAGCTGAGCCTGAAGGATAAAAAGAAGACAGCTGTACAGAGGTCAGTATGTTCATCAGCTAGGACTGCTGTAACAGAGTACCACAAACTGGGTGGCTTAGAACAACAGACACTTATTGTTTCACAATCCTGAATTCCAGAAGTCTAAAATCAAGATGTCGGACCTCTGAAGGCATTGGGGAAGGATTTGTTTCAGGCTTCCGAGCTTCCTCAGGCATTCCTTGGCTTGTAAAGCGCCGTCTTCTCTCTGTCTCTTCACATCATTCTTCTTTCTGTGTGTGTCTGTCTCTGTGTCCAAATTTCCTTTTTTTATAAGGACATTAGTCATATTGGCTTAGGGCCCACCGAATGACCTGATTTTCACTTGATTGCCTCTGTAAAGATCCTATTTCCAAATAAGGTCATATTCTGAGATATTGATGTTTGGACTTCACCATACTTTTTTTGGGGGTGGGGTGGGCACAATTTAACTCATAACAAGTTGCACCAATAGTGTTCCAGGCAGAAGACCACATGTTCAAGTCCCTGAGCTAGAATGGAGGTTGGGGGGTCGGAGAATGAGAAGACTGGTGGTCTGAATAGAGCAGGCAGAGCGGCAGGAGGAGACCAAGAGGGGGACTGCACTGGCAACTACAAAACCTTCAACATGGATGATTCGTTCATTTTTGCTACTAACGCCTGCTGCAATAACTTTTAGGGGATATACAGAGAGATTGCAAAGATAGTTCTGTCTTTTCCTCTTCGTAGTTCATGGAATACAGCTAAGGAAGGGAGCTTCCCAACTGGTCGTGGTCATTGCCAACTTAGAAAAATTAATTTTTCGTGCAAGTCAAATTGCTGCACGTGTGTCCTCTGCCTGTACCAGGAACAATGGGAGCCACGCTGTGAATCATCTTCAAATAAAACTGTGAAAGACAGCAGGACATGGACTTTGCACCATGTCAGATTCAGAGGCCAAGTGGCTTCCTCCAGGGGTCATACCACTCTTCTGGCCGCTAGGTTTGCATCAAGAAGGCTGGGTATTTAGTGGAGGGGGAGAGGACACAGAAGAGGAGAAAATGAACACTGTGGAATTATGATCTCACTTCAACCAAATTGCTGTGGGCTTAGTGTATTTAAGAAATTGGACTTTAGGCCATCTATGTCTTTAGTTTGACCACCCTTATCCCCAGGGCCTTTCATATGAAAAATACATTTTCATGAATCTGTGTGTATCTTCTAGATGATATTTCTTTTTTTTTTTTTTTAAGTGTCTACCACATGCCTTTATTCATTTCTTTATTCACTCAACAAACCTGGCCTTGGGGCCTTGCTTAAAATTTTGGCTTTGATCTCCAGGAAGTGGAGGTTTTGGAAAAGGAATGTGATGTGGTTGGAATGGTCTTTTTGGAAGGTCAAGAACAGAGAGCGGCTTAATGAAGTCAGGGCCTGGCACCTGGTAAATCAATTAGGAAGTCAGGGAAATGTCCCAGGAAGATCACCTACTCATGGAGTTCTATTATATGTCAAATGTATGTTGTTCTCTCTCACTGCGAACAAAAAGGAAAAATCAATGAAGAAAGAAACACAAAATATAGCACCAGTTTTTGGAATAAGGCCCATTTCAATTTAGGCATCATCATATAGACCTGGTGGCCCAGTGCTGCTATAGGTTTTTGCTCTCTCATTACTGGTGAGGATAAGCTTTATATGATTTCTCCCCTTGATTCAGATGGAGAAATGGAAGCAAATGGGATACATTAGTTACCTGTAACAATTTTACCACAAATTTAGCAGCTTAAAACGGCAAAGTTTATTATCACACAGTTTTTGTGGGTCAGGAGTCAGAGTTGCCTAAGCTGGTCTTCTACTTGTGGGTCTCACAAGGCTGTAATCAAGGTGTTGGCCAGGGCTGTGGTCTCATCCGAGGTTTGACTGGGGGAAGAATCTGCTTCCAAACTCACATGGTTGTTGGTAACATTCAGGTCCTTGTAGTTGTAGGCCTGAAGGCTTCTTGTTGGGTATTGGCGGAGGCGACCTTCAGCTCCTAGAAGCTGCCCTTAACTCCTTGACACGTGGGCCTCCCAACATGACCTCTTACTTCTTTATTGCAAAGGAGAGAGTTGCCTTAAAATATGGGTATTATAATCTTATGTAATCAAGTATACATACATAACCATGCACATCCTGTCACTTTGCCATATTCTATAAAGCTAGAAGTAAATTACTAGGCCAGCAGATACTCAAGGTCAGGGGATCACTAAAGGGTATGAACACAAGGAGGCAGAGGTCATGGGGGCCACCCTAGTAGGCTGTCTGCCATATGTGATGTTCAGTGACTTGGTGGAGGTGATGGAATGGATAAGAGGGTGAAAAAGACCAGAGCCTATAGGCTCCCGGAAAACATTGTTGCCATCACAAAACCACCCTGTTTTCCTCTTACTCCATGTAATCTTGGGAAATTGACCCAGAATCCTCACTGAATCCTTCAGGCTGATTATTTTAACCCCACTACAAGGGTAAGGCAAAAGCTGTTCTGTTATCTGTGTTCTGGAATCCTGGTGGCAGCAGCAGTTGGTATTGGTTTTATTTTCCTATTCTTTTTTTGTTGTGTTTCATTCCATTAAATATTATCTTCTTTGCCTGAAAGATTTTGCTCCTTTTTTTTTAATAGATCTTTATTGGAGTATAATTGCTTCACAATGTTGTGTTAGTTTCTGTGGTCACCAAAGTGAATCAGCCATATGCATACATATGTCCCCATATCCCCTCCCTTTTTTTTTTTGTATTCAAACAGAAAGTCACAAAAATTATAATCATCCTCATCAGTTCACTCAGTCCCATGTAATTAATTTTTTTTCATCTTGATCTTTTGTTAGCACTTTTATGAATTCATCAGTTTTCCATTAGAGTTCTGAAAATGCTTTTTCATTCAGTTCAGCAGTATAGTCAGTTACCAGAAACCTGTACTTGTCAGAGTCTTTTCCATGAATTCCTTGAAGATGAAACCCTTTTATAGGAACATTTTTGCAAAAGCATCAGAGTACACCCAGAACTGTCTGTAAATGACAAAAGACTTAAAAATGACCATGGTTAAAGATTTGATGAAAGTTCATAATAATGCAATTGACAAGGAAATTTAGTTATTTCTGAGATATACATTTTAAAGTAATAACTAGAATTATGATGTATAACATTATACCAGAACATATAAGATTTTTAGGAATTTCATATAATGTCAGAAACATTTATATTAACATATTTCCGTAGAAATAACTCAAAGAAAGTTTAGTATTAGTTTTTTTCTTTAATTTTTGAATTTAATTTAATTTTTTTTTTATACAGCAGGTTCTTATTAGTCATCAGTTTTATACACATCAGTGTATACATGTCATTCCCAATCTCCTAAGTCAGCACACCACCTAGATGGTATTTCTATTTCTTTTACCCTGCCTTAATCTACTGTCAAGTATGGAAGCTTATATTTCTTATTTTATCTCACAAACTTAAGCCCTGGGTCAGCCCCTTCTTACTGTAGTGATTAAATGGAACTTATTTTTTTTATTTTTTTCTAATTTCAAGTATGCATTTCTGTTTTAATCCTTAAACAACCTTGCACGGTAGGTAGCCTAATTGCATTTTAAAGGTGAGGAAACTGAATCGTAGAGAATTTAAGTGGTAGTAGCGACGCACCTAGTGTTAACAGCATGAAACTA